TAGGCTCATTTTTGAGGGAAAGTCTCACTGAATTGGGGAGCTCTGGTGGCCTAGTGGCAAGAAGCTGCACTGCAATCCCAGAGGAACACGGTTCGAATCCACCAGACGCTCTGCCGGAGAAGGAGGCGCAATATCCTCCTGTACCAGTCAGATCTGATTTGACGGTACACGCACACAAAATTAAAAAAAAAAAAAGAAGACAAAGATTCTCACCAGTGGGCCAATTGGCAGAACCATGATAGAAGGAGAAGAAACAGAGGTTAACAATTATAGCTTGTTTGACTCCACAGTCAACATTCTTAACACCAGCAATCAGGAAATCAAAAAGACAAATTGCTCTGGGAAAATCTTCTGTCAGACTTCTCCAGAGTGCTGAAAAGCAACGATGTCAGAGGAGAGACTAAGGTGTACCTAATCCAGGCCATTGTCTTCGCAATTACTTGCTTTGCTTCACAGAGCTAGACAATGACTAAGGATGACAGAAGAAGAATCTATGCTTTCGAATTGTGGTGCTGGAGAAGAGTCTTGAACATACCATGAACTGCCAAGCATGATGTCCCTCTCTAAGGACCGGTCTCTCCTCACAACATGTCCAAAGTATGTTAGACAGAGCCTCAGAAAACCAAAAATAGTTATAGTACAGGTTTCAGGATTTTTGTTTATGGGATTGTTATGAGTCATGATCAACTCAATGACATTTAACAACAACAGTAACAACAACAGTAACAATAACAACTGTCTTCTTCAGGAAGAATTTCAAGTCCTCTTTTCTTTCAGCAAGCAGGGCTGTGTCATCTGCATACTGCATTTTGTTGATGATTCTTCCTCCGTTACTGATACCATATTTTTCTTCATAATGTCCAGCCTCTAAAATTATTTATTCAGCATACAGATTGAATAGGTGTGGAGAAAGGGTACAATATTGACAAACATCTTTCTTCATTTTAAACCATACAATGTTCCCTTGCTGTTTGGATAATAGCTTCTTGATCTAGGTATAGCTTTCACATGAGCATAATTAAGTGTTTTGGACTTCCCATTCTTCTCAATGTCAGCCATAACTTGTTATGACACACAGAGCCTTTGCATAATAAATAAAATACAAATAAACATCCTTCTGATATTCTCTGCTATTATCCAGGTTCCATTTGATATGACTGTTGTTGTTATGTGCCATCGAGTCACCTGTGACTCTTTGCACAATAACTTTGAATCTTGTCCTATCCTGAGCCAATCTCACTGTGTCCAATCCACTTGCCCATATTACCTGGGTAACTGTGTCAAGCTCACCTCATATGGAGTCTTCCTATTCTGTATTGTCACTCTATCCTTCCAGCCATCATATCTTTGAATATCATGAACTAGTCCCTCCTGGGAACATGTACAGAGTATGTGAAATGGAGCTTCAAAATTCTTGCCTCCAGAGAGCAGTGAAACTTAGTTTTACCCTCTCCAGGAAAGAGCTCTTTGGCAGCCAATACTCTTGGAAAGTTCAATAATCTTCTCCAGCACTACAGCTCAAAGACATCAATTCTTCTGTAATCCTTATTCTTAATCATATCTGAAATTACTGTTGTTGTTATGTGCCGTTGAGTCACTTGTGACCTATAGCAAGTACAATAGCTCTGAAACCTGCTCTATCTTGTGCCAACTTCTCATCTCTGACAAATCTATCTCCATTTCTCAAGTCACTGAATCAATCATCTCAAGATCTTCCTCCATCCCTCCAGCCTCCCAAGAATTATGTCTCTCTCCAAGAACTGGTCACTCCTTATAATATGCCCAAAATATGCCAGAAGAAGCTTCAGAATCCTTACCTCAAAGGAGCAGCCTGGTTTCAACTTCTCTAGAAGGAACCTGTTTGTGCTTCTAGCAGTCCATGGTACATTCAATACTCTTCTCTAGCACCACAGCTCAAAGGCATCATTTCTTCTTCTATCATCTCTAGTCATTGTCCAGCTTTCTGATGCATAGCAAGTAATTGTGAAAACTATGGCTTGGATCAGGCGCACC